ACCTTCTTTGTCATGTGATGAGGAATGAATTTTTAGTGATATCGGTTTTTGTATCAAAGTGTTTTAAGGTCTTTAAAGTTGAATTGTGCCAACTTTAAGGATTGAAGTCTTTGACTTGTGTTTTAAAACCTTGATTTTCGAGAGTAGGATCGAAAATTGAGTGAAGTTTTACTAAAAAGATTTTCTTAATTTATGACAAGAAATCTTATAGGCTTTGAGATATATTCTTAAAGTTTACATATTTGGTTGTTGGAAAAGTTGATTTTCAATGGTCACTTATGAAGATGGCATTGTTAAGTCATTGAGTTTTCAGAATGATTTGTGTTAAATTTAGTATTATGAAGCAAATGTCATAATTGAACAAGGAACTTTAGTTTCCTACTTCATTATAATTATAGTGTTCTTGTTACTTTATTTGCAATGGATTGTTTTGGTAAAAAGTGATATTTGTTAATTCCAAATACAATTTGGAAAAGGGTTTTTAGAAAGATTCTAAAAGTTGTTGTCCATTTTTGGAAAGTGTTAATTTTCAAGTTTCCTTTTTAAGTGAGTCAAAAGTAATTTTTCAAATTTTAACTATATGGTAAAAGGTTAATAGCCGAAATTTTGCTGACTTTTTGCATGTGTGTGCGTGTGATTTATGTGGTATTCTAAGCCTAGTTGGTTTTGAATTTTAGAGTTATAGTATAGCCGAAATTGTGAAGCTAAAAATTAGGGTTTCCTAGTCCTAGTTGAACTTGAATTTTGGTTGTCTATTTGTGTTACACTTGGAGACCTATTTGGTCTTGTATTTGTGTGTTCACATGGCCGAAAATTTTAGCCCTAAAATTAAGGTCATTGAGTCCAAATTGTGTTATGATTTGAGTCCTATTCGGTTTTGGATTTTTGTGTTCACATTGGCCAAAAATTTGCAGCCATTGTTTCCTAATTGTGATACAATTTTATTGTGTGTTTTATTTAAGTCCTACTTGGATTTAAATACTAATTTTTACATGTGTTAAATTATAATTTCAGTGAGATTATAATTAGAGTTTTGAAGTGAGTCTATTTTCGAAAACTATTAAGATAAGGAAGTCTTATCCTAATCTGAAAATTTTTGAGTCTTCTAATACAATTGTGCATGTGTGTGGCCATGTATTTGAGTCCTTTTAGTAGTAAGGGGGTCGAAAATTTATTCTCTAATAAGTAGGGATGAGTTTTCCTAATTTGTGTCTAAAAAGGATTATGTTTACCTAAGTTTTAGGACTCTATCCTTGTCTATATATATGAGGCCGGTTTTTCTTCTTCTTTATTCCACATTGTTGAGCAGCCTTCATCATTAAAAAGGGGGGAATATTTTTGAGAAAATTTAGGTCCTATCTTGTAGGAGTTTTCTTGCACAAAAAGACTTGCATTGCCTATAACTAGGGGTGCTGTTTTTCGAAAATTCTCACATCACTCTACTCCAATCTTCTTCTTCTTTCTTGCTGCCGAGATCAAAAGAGAAAAGAACAAGAGAAGCACTCTTCTCTTTAATTCTGAAATTTTGAGAGTTGTGTTCTTAAAAGCACAAGAGAGTTTTTGTTTTTGGGAAGAGCTTTATTCAAACCTTCCTTTGGTTCTTGGGGGGGTTTCGGCCGAACCAAACTTTGGTTCTAGGGTTCAAGGAGTTTTTGTGTAGTAAACAAGGCACATTACTTCTTTTGTTGGTGGTTTCTCAGAGTTGTTGAGCAAAGATGTCATCCGGAGTTGCTGGTTGTACTCAAATCGCTTCAAAGAGTGTAGAGGGTCGCATGGAGGCTCAAGTACAGCTCATGAAGAGTCAAATTGACTTCCTACATGATGCTTTGGCCGAGGTTAAGGAGGCAAACCGAGACTTGTCTCAATTGCTTTCAAATCAGCAAGATAAAGCTATGGTAAGTTTTGAGAAAATTGCTGAAAACTTAAGAGTCTTATGTGATCGTATTGAAGTTAAACAAGTACCCTCGCATGCTGGAATGTTGCAAGTGTCATTGCCTTTGTTTTATGGTTGTCATAGAGAATATGATACTTGGGAAAAGAGCATAGAGAATTTGTTTGTGTTGCTTAACATAGAGAAAGAGAGTGAGAAAATAGCCTTAGCTATAGGTTGTTTTCGTTCTAATGCTTTGAATTGGTGGAAGCTAGTTTCAAATATCTATTCGCATTATTGGTGTCGTAATTTGGATGATTGGAATGATTTGAGAAGTGCTTTGCGAGAAAGATATGCTGGTACTAACACCTTTGATGAAGCAAAAGTGAAGTTGCTCAATTGTAAGCAGAATGGTAGATCCATTCAATCTTACTTTGAGGAATTAGAAGGGTTGTTTCTGAGTTCAGAAGTGGATGAGAACGATTACATGTTGACAAACCGTTTCCACTATGGCTTGGACAAGTGGTTCAAACAACATCCAAAGATAAGGAGACAATCAAGGCTCTATGAGGCATACTATGCTGCCTTAGAAGTGGAAAGAGAGCATGATACTTCTTGTGGTTGGAATGGTCCAATTGAGGATCAGGGGTTGGTGTTTGGTGCTGAAGATGGAGATCAACGGACTTGTATCTTCCGTACTAAGTGTTTGGTTGGGTGGTCCAATGAAGTTGATTTGGTAATCGACGGTGGGTCGAGTACTGATTGTGTAAGTGAGGAATTTTGCATAGCAAATGGAATTAAGATGGATCCGCATACTAGACCATACAAGCTTCAATGGTTGAGTGAAGAGATGGTTGTGGATGTTACTAAAAAGGCCATGGTACCTTTTCAGATTGGTGAGTATAGGAATGAAATTTACTTTGATGTAATTCCTATGTCTCTTTGTGATATTTTGCTAGGTATGCCTTGGTAGTCAGATGTAGATGCTGTGCACCATTGCTTGAAGAATATCTTTCTATTTACTAAAGAGGACAGAAAATACATTCTTAAGCCTTTGGCTTATGAAGAATCTGAATCTGTGCGAGAGAAAAGACGTAAGATAACCTGTACACAAGGGAGAGAAAAAGTCGAGAGAGTGACGCAAGAAAGTAAAAAGGGTCATGATGAGGTAAGACTTGAGGCGAGAGAAAACCATGAAAATAGCGTGGAAACAGAAAAAAATGCACGCAATGAGAGAAAATCAGAGTGTGGTGAGGGTGATGATTTTACTAACCCTTATATCTCGTTTGTTCCTTGTGCAGGTATAGAGGTTGATGATTCGAGGACGAATCCTCTTAAAGAAGGAGGGGATAATGAGAATCATGTAGCCTTCTATGGAGGTTCTCCTAGTGAGGGGAATGAGCTAGTCCTTCATTCTAGTTTTGGAATGCCAAATTTACTTTGCAGGCCAATCAAGGAAGAAAGGATGGATCTTGACTACCTATGTGATAGGGAGTTGGTTCAAGAGAGCTATGATCAAGGTGATGAGAATGTCATTAACTTTGGGGTTCAAACCAAAGGAGATGAAGACCTCATGGAAATAAGTGCTGAAGAGTATCAAGAGAGTTTGACTCTGTGTGCTCCACGAAGATCATTGATCAAGCTAGTGAGAAGAGTCATTTAGGATATTGAATGGACGGCCTATTTGATCAAAGTGTTCAAGATTGAGTCCATTGCTACACAATTGGATAGGTTGCAAACTATCTTAATTGTTTCAAGTGTTTTTCCAATCTTTTGGAGTCAATAAAGAGAATTCTACAAGTTTTGGAGTAAATTGGAGTTTTCTACAACTTAAGGGGCGCAAGACCAATATTCCACTTTTGGAAGGGCGTTCAAGACGTTTTACTTCAACAATTTGGAGCTGAATTTCGAGATTAGAGTTAGTCTAAGTCTAGGAGTCAATTTTCGAATTTTTATCTAGTTAAATAAGTCATGTGGACTGAATTAAACTAGAGTGTTTTGATTAGGAGTCTTAGATTCCTTCTAGATATTATCATACTTGAGGATAAGTCATTTAGATAAGGTTTCCTAGATTTTAGATAGAGTCAAAGAGATTAAGTACTCTTCTACTTTTACTCCTTGGGAGATAAGATTAGAGAGTCCTAATTGGTCTTCTTTTTAGTGGAGCTGGCCGAAAATTCTAAGCCTATAAATAGGAGGCTTGGCCGAATTTCTTAAGCACCCTTGAGTGGTCATTTTTGTTGTCTCTTTTGAGAGTTTTTCCTGTGAGGAATTTTTGTTAAATGGAGTGTCCATTTTTTGTGTCAAGTATGATTAAACCAAGAGGGTTTTCATCTTGTCTTGGATCTTTTTGATCTTGCAGAAACCGTTCTTTTTCAAGTATGCTTCTTGATAGAATTGTTTTAAAACTAAACTTTTTATTTTCATACTACTTCTAGTAGTTCGATTGATGAGCCTTTCCTTTGGCTTGGTGTTCGAATTTCATGATGAGTGTGTTCATGAGATCCATTGTGGGGTTTGTCCTACTTTTGTTGGATGAGTTGTGCTTTGGCATAAGCATTTTGAGATAGTGTATGTGTTGCATATCTTTGGTTGGTTATGAAGATTACTAATCAATAGTATTCCTTCATAGTTGGGAATTGTTTGCTCCTGCCTTTCTTGAGTCTCTTGATAGATGACTGATCGAGTATATTGAATGGTGTCCTTGCTATTCTTAGCGTGGGTTGTTGTTTAATTCGAATCTTTCATGGATAATGTGTTCTTTGCTTGGTTTGAGTTAAGAGATAGAATCACTTAGATAAACGATCGTCTTACTGTGAATTTTCCGCACTCTTTTGAGTTTCACGGGATAGACAAAATTATCTTCGTACCTTCTTGTTGATGGTTGCATTAATGAAATTTGCTTCGTCTACGAGATTGCTATCATTACTGGTAGTAGAAGAGAAGGCAAAATCAAAATTCAGCTCCCTCCTCACCTCTTCTAATTTATTCATAACTAGCATAGGCTCAAGGATCACCAAAAGCAAGATTCGATATCTCCGAATCAAGGCTCTCAAGCGCCTTTGAAAAACTTGTTTTTTTATTCCCCTAATATTCCAAAAAATCACACTAATCTTAAAAATTTTGGAGGTTATTGAAGGCGGAGAGACCGCCACAACTCTTTACCTTCCAGCAACTTAGCTTGCTCCGTTTTTGATTTTCGACCTCGCTTACTTTTGACAGAGAGTTCACCTTGATCTTTACGGACTAAATCAGCTTCCTCTTTTTCCCCTTCTGACCATCGGCCAACATGTAAATCCTCTACATCATCTTCACATTTCGGCTCAAACGAATCATCTGGGAAGAATTGTTGCTTAGTCATTGAATCATCTTCAGCCCGAAGAAGGTTATCTTTATCTATCACTGCCAATTCTCTATCACCTCTCTCTTCCGTGAAGACATCTTCAACATCTTCATCATTGTCACCAGCATCATCAATGACCTGAAGAACCAGACACTTATTAGATTGCGGAACCTCACTCGACCTGTTCAAATCATCGTGCTGCATAGTAGCTGGTTCATTTCGTTCTAAGGTCGGAGCAGGTGGAGGGCTGTCCAAGACATCAACCAGAATGCTTTCTTTTTTAGCTGAAGTTAACCCTGAAGTTGACGCCGCAACTAGGGTTTCCACAGGGGGCACATACGAGAGCTCTTACGAAGGCGCGATTAGGGTTTCCGCAGGGGTTGAAACAAGCTGTGACTTCTTCGACTCGACACCTCTCACTATCAACGGATTCATATTGATTATATCAACCTTCGGATCACCTTGACCCTGGCTACGCTTTGATCCCAAAATCACTTTGGGGCCATGCAATTTAACACCTTTCTTCACCACAGCCGGATTCTTCTCCTTCCCAGAATCACTTTTCAGTGGCAATGGCTTCCCTACGCGGCAATTAATTTCTTTATGGCCAATCTTGCAGCACTTAGAGCAATAGAAAGGGACATGCTCATAAGTGAATACATGTTCATGCTTGCGCCCCTTCTTTCCAATCTTCACAGATTTGGGGAATTCTTTGGTGAGGTCTACTTCGACGAAAAATCTCGCGCCAAAGGGCCTTGTCATGTTGAGCGTTGGCTTATCAATCTTCAATGGCTTCCCTATAGCAGTGGCCATGGAATAAATGACCTCTGGATACATGTATTCAACCGGAAGGTCAAAAAGTGATACCCAAATTGGAACCACAAGCGGGTCTTCCTCAAAACGAAACCCCAGCTTCCATTTCAAAATTCGCATCGAGAAGCCGGCAATGTTCCAAAACGTACGTATCCAACACCTTTGATAATCATCTTCTTGTTCGAATCTTATCAACACATGTCGAGGGTTCATGAGACCCAAAGTATAACCGCCATTAAATCCAATCTTCTTGAACACCTTATGGATTTTCTCTATTTTAGGACGGCCATACGAGAATTTTCCAACTAGACTCAATCTATGTGGAGCCACAAGCTTCTCGAATTCATCATCCTCAGACTCCAAAGTGGGATACATTGATGAATTTCCCTTGCTTAATGAGAGTGTTTTTGTTAGAAACGGATTTAGAAGGTTTTTGAAAAAAAACTTGTGAATGATTTCGGTGGTTGCAAGGGGGCCACCGATAGATGATTGCCAGCCATGGGGGGCCAAGAGGAAGGCGTGGAGCCGTCCTTGTTAGGGTTTAGCTATAGAGAACGAGGGGTATTTTTGGTATATTTAATGAATAGTTACATCTTATCATGATCATGGAAGGATAAGATTTGATGATTCTCTTTTATCTGCTTTTGAGTTTGTTCACAATAAGAAGTCTATTCCTTGGTGTCTACTATCAACCGTTAGATGAAGATTAGATAGCTATGATTATTCTACAAAGAAGATATTGATAGAGTTGACAACTCAGAAAGATTCTTTTCAAGATAAGGATAAGATTCTTTTGAAAGAATATCTCTTTGTATTAGGAGTTTTATTTTCATTATACTAGTGTGTCTTAAGTCTATAAAGGTGTATAGATACATTGCCTTAATAGATAAGACACAAGTTGTCAAATTAGAATTTTATTTGATTTCTAGTTCCTTAAAGGAGGAATAGATTTAGAGATCAAACTCTTATCCTACTTCTTAGGAGGATTTTTGGCCCCTCTACTATAAATAGGGGTGCTTGGCCAGCTTTTGGAGGTAGGTTTTTTGATGAAAAAATTGTACTTTTTTTAATACAACTTTTATATATTTTTAATTAAAAAGGCTTAGAATAAAGTAAAAATAGTACCTTATGACAATCTCTAACATAAAAAAAAATTAGTTCAGTTAAGATTTAAGATTATCTTCAAATTTTTTTTTATTTTGGATTTTTTTAACTCATGAAATTGTCGATAACTAGATTTACATAGTAGATGCATAACAAAAAAAAAAAAATCATATTTTTAATTATTTTATGTTTTAAAAATACTAATTTTGAAAATTTTTTACCTTTGTGTAAGATTTAGAGTTATTTTTTTAAAAAATTATTATAATAAAAAGACTAAATTCAAGAATTTAGAATTTAGTCTTTTTTAAAAAAGAACTTACATTTGAAATTTTGAAGAGTCCGAACTGAACCCTAGGCTTATTGGGCTTAGGGTTAGTTTACTTAAATGTTAAACCACCGTCTTATTGTAAATTACCTATTATTAGTAAATCTACTCCAATTAGGAACCGTCATACTTATGTAATCCACCCCTATATAAAGGGATGGTCTCTCCCCTATTTGGGACAATGGTATCTACACCATACAATAATAATATTCTCCCAATTTTTCTACTCTTTTGTAAACCCTAACTCCTGATAGACTCCCGTCCCAAAGCACCATACGGATTTTGACTTCCTCAAGTGGCACCGACTATGGGGATCATTGGTGTTGATTCTCACAAATCAACAAATTTCTTATGAAGAAGAACTCTGTGGTTTTAGGACAAATACGGTGCTAATTAGATTTAATTAATCTTGATTTTAAGTTCACTATTTTTTATCAGATTTCAGAGCCGAAGGAATTTTGCAGTTTCAAAAAAACTGTAGATTAGTCCCAAAAATTACTGATTTTGATACTTTTACCCCAAAAGTTTTTTAATTTAGCAGATAAGCCCTTGATCGAGATTCAGCCATCATCTCACAAGAGAAACAACAACTTGCTGCCACCTCCGTGTGAATGACAAACAACATGCTACAAGCCAATCCATTGGAATCATCATCTAGGGGGCCGTCTAGTGGTTTGTTCGATCCAACCGTCATGGAAGCTCTTTTCAAGTTTCAACCTCACTAGTTTAGCAAGTTTCACAATCTTGTGAAGATTTTCATGAACTCGATGGTAAGCACCGCCAATTCTTGGTGAATAACTTGGGTACCTTCCCGAAAGATCGAGAGCCAAACCCTAGGGACAATTCGCGAGAACAACAAACTATGAATCAAGAAGATGCACATACCTCTCGAGCAATCGTACCTTCAACTCGAGTACCCTCAACCATAAGGAGCAACTACACAAGATTCTAAGACATAAAGGAGGTGATGAAGAAGATTGTCCATTCATTCAACGTATCCACGAAACACCCATTCCCAAGAGGTTTGAACTTCCAAATTTGAAGTTTTATGGAGGAGATACCAATCCCATGGTGTAATAGAGATTGAGGAATGCTTCTAGTGATTTCATGTGCAAGGTGTTCCCTACGTATCTCACGGGTTAAGCCTAGCTCTGGTTCATAAACCTACCTCCGAGAAGCATACAATTTTTTTAGGAGCTAGGAACTTTGTTTCATATAAGAATATTCCAAGGGAAGATGATTTGGAAGACGCTCACGAAATTAATGGGTCTCAGACAAGAACGAGAAGCGTCTATTGGTGGTTGTTATACTCGTTTCACTAAAGAACAACTTAATGTAGAAGGAGTACTTGAGGAGACAATCATTGTAACCTTCACTAATGGCCTTTACCCATATGGGGCATCCGTGACCTTAAGACTAAAGTTGACACCGGAGTCTGCAACAACTATTCTTAGTGGTCGAAACTGGAGTTTGAGCAGAAGAAAATTTATGTTGAGCACGAGACAACATGCACAATTACGAGAAGAAATCGCTTGAGAACAAGGCTAAAGTAATAGCAATCTCGTAGATGAAGCAAATTTCATTAATGCAACCATCAAACAAGAAAGTACGAAGATAATTTGTCTATCCCGTGAAACTCAAAAGAGTGCGGAAAATTCACAGTAAGACGATTGTTTATCTAAAGATTTCTATCTCTTTAACTCAAACCAAGCAAAGAACACATAATCTATAAAAGATTCGAATTAAACAACAAACCACACTAAGAATAGTAAGGACACCATTCAATATACTCGATCAGTCGTCATTCAAGAAACTCAAGAAAGGTAGGAGTAAACAATGCTCAACTATGAAGGAATACTATTTGTTGAAGGTGAAATCCGTTAGGACGAGAATCAACAGTGTCTATGGACCTGAGACCTGCAAAACAAGGGTTAGCACTCCGATGAGCAAGTCAGTGTCAAGAGTAAATGTATTAAATGTGAGCCAAGAAGTGAGTAGGAGAAAGAGCTTACTCTTCACCACAAAAAATAGGATGTATATAGATAAGTTAAGGGAGAATATTCCTTGAAATATTCCTTTTCAATGATGGGTTTGGGCCATTAATAGGGCTTTAGCCGGCCCAATTAGCCATAAAGGAATATTTTCAGACTCATGAGTTGTTGCTGGCCCAAGTGAAGTTGCACCCTCCAAAACTATTGATTAGTAATCTCCATAAGCAACAAAAATATGCAACACAAACACTATTTCAAAATACTTATGCCAAAGCAAAATTCATCCAACAAAAAGTAGGGCAAACCCCACAAAGGAACTCATGAACACACACATCATGAACTCGAAAACCATAGCAAAAAGAAAGGCTCAACTCTTGAACTGCTAGAAGTAGTATGAAAATAAGAAGTTTAGTTTTAAAAAAATTCTATCAAGAAGCATACTTGAAAAGAACGGTTTCTGCAAGATCAAAAGATCCAAGACAAGATGAAAACCCTCTTGGTTAAATCATACTTGACAAATGAAAAATGGACACACCATTTAACAAAAATTCCGCACAGGAAAAACTCTCATTAGAGAAGACTCAAAATGACCACACACGGGTACGTACCTTGAACCTTAGGCATTGCCCCCTATTTATAGAGTAGCAACCTCGGTCACAAAGCATAAAAGAAGACCAACTAGGACTCTCTTTGACTCTATCTAAAATTTAGGAAATCTTATCTAAATGACCTCTCCCCAAATAGGATAATACTTAGAAGGAATGTAAGATTCTTAAAGAAAACATTCTAGCTTAATTCAGCCCACATGGCTTATCTTAACTAGATAAACTCGAAAAATTAAAATCCTACACTTAGACAACTCTAATCTCGAAATTTAGCAACAATTGTAGAAGTAAAATATCTTGAACGCCCTTCCAAAAGGTGGAATATTAGTCTTGCGCCCCTCAAGTTATAGATAACTCCAATTTACTCCAAAACTTGTAGAATTCTCTTTATTGACTCCAAAAGAATGGAAAAATACTTGAAACAATTGAGATAGTTTGCATCCGATCCAATTGTGTATCAATGGACTCAATCTTGAACAATTTGATCAAATAGGACGCCCATCAAGAACCTAAATGATTCTTCTCTCTAGCTTGATCAATGATCTTCATGGAGCACCTAGAGTTAAACTCCCTTGATACTCTTGAGCACTTATTTCCATGAGTGAATCATCCCTTTGGTTTGAACCCCAAAGTTAATGACATTCCCATCATCTTGATCATAGCTCCCTTGGACCAACTCCCTATCACATAGGTAGTCAAGATCCATCCTTTCTTCCTTGATTGGCCTGCAAAGTAAACATGGCATCCCAAAACTAGAATGAAGGACTAGCTCATTCTCCTCACTAGGAGAATCATCATGGAAGGCTATATGATTCTCATCATCCCCTCCTTCTTTAAGAGGATTCGTGCTCGAATCATCAACCTCTAAACCTGCATAAGGAACAAACGAGATATAAGGGTTAGTAAAATCCTCACCCTCACCACACTCCGATTTTCTCTCATTGCATGCATTTTTTTCTGTTTCCACGCAATTTTAATGGTTTTCTCTCCCCTCAAGTCTTGTCTCAGCGTGACCCTTTTTACTTTCTTGCGTCACTCTCTCGACTTTTTCTCTCCCTTGTGTATAGGATATCTTACGTCTTTTCTCTCACACATTTTCAGCATCCTCATAAGCCAAAGGCTTAAGAATGTGTCTAAATGTCATCTTTAGTAAAGACAAAGACATTCTTTGATCCGTAATGCATAGCATCTAAGTCCGTCTGCCTAGGCCTACCTAGCAAAATATCACACAACGTCACAGGAACTACATCAAAGTAAAGTTCATCCCTAGACTCACCAATTTGAAAGGTAACCCCAGCCTTTTTAGTGACATCCACCACCATGTCCTCGCTCACCCATTGTAGCGTATAT